CCCCAAAACCCCAAAACCCCAAAACCCCAAAACCCCACAGGCTGGTGAATGCAGAAATTTAACAGATTTGTATTATTATATTATATCGAAGAAATTTCAATGAAAAAGTTAAAAAGAGAGATCAATGTGCTTTCAAGCAACTGTAAATTAACCCAGTTTAAACCTTTTAGTCGTTGATGACTTTGAAAGCCTGCTTAAAATGAGCAACAATAATCATAAGTTAAGTGTTAAGAACTCTCCCTCCAAGAAGGCACAGAATTAGATGGTAGGAATACAAGGCAATTCAATCAATCAAAATTTCCTAAATCAAAGCAACATCCCACTCAATCAACTGCCTAAAGTAAAAGATTTAGAAATGTACAAAAGCCTTATAAGTCCTCAATAATCTGTTGCAAGTAATATTAATATAGAATAACAGTTTATAGCACTTCACAAGAAGGCAGCGACCACAACTTAATCAAAGCTAGCAGAATATATTAAGGGTGCCAGCAAGAGCAAGAACCCAAGCTTGAAATAATCAGCAGTTGGTTATACAACAGCCATCAAAGGTGTTGGCGGCAGCATAAATTAGAAAAGCTAAATCAATTATACGACAGCAGACAATTGACACAGCTAGTTAGGTTCCTTAAGCCCAGATCTCTTCTCGCCCCATAAGCAAAATAACTTCATTCAGAATCAGCCTAATTAAAGTCTGTATCACCAAAGGACTCAATCGGACATTATGATAAATCAAAAATGTAATTATTCTTAATTTAAAAATTGTCTGATAGATGGAACTAAGGCTATTAATGGACCATCAAGAGCAACTAAGCATGCAGCTTTCACCTCGTCTCATACTCCTATGCAATAAAGTATAGAAAGAATAGCAGGTGTATAATCTAGTCTAGATGCTCCGAGTCACTCTTCAATCAATAGATATAACAACATTTCAATTTAGTCATATGTAGAGCAAAAATCGGGTAAAAAAGATTCAATTAACAAAAATTAAAAAAGTTTGAGAATCGTAGGACAACCTCATAGATAACTGAAGTAAACCTAGAATGCTATAAAATATAATCAGATAATGAAGAGTCAGACACCAACATAGGAGTTCATTGTGGATTAGAGATTTATGATAAATAACACCTAAAATAAGAATTACTTTGACATTGACAATTTATTCTTTGACGGTGGAACTGGTGCTATTGGTTAGAAGAAGTAAGAAAACAATAAGAAGCAATATGATCAGGCATTCTCAGTTAAAGTCAGTCCAATGAATAAAGTCATTTAAAATACCTTTCCTGCTGCTGTAACTGCAATGAGAGTTTAGTAGAATTAGTCTTAACCTAACTAAGGCAGTCAACCTGATATAACTTATCATAAAAGAATCAACAGTTAAAACATTTAAAAGATCCAAAATTAAGCATTTCAAAAGCAATACACTAATCTTAACTAATGGAGGAAGTCTGCTCTCAGTTATAAAAATTCATAGATTCAAGAAGTAGATCATCCTTACGAGGAAATAGATCAGGACATGTAAATTAAGATAGTTGAGAATATGAGAACTCCGACAGTTTCAAACAGATTTTTCATTGAAGGATTTACTAGCAACGTTACAAGTCCAATGATTCAGTAGCATAAATAGTTAGGTAAATAAAAAAAGAGCGTCAACTATATAACTAAAGAGTAAAGGAAAAAGAATATTTCTGTTGAACCTCCTGACCTATAGGATTTCGATTATAAAGTTTCTAAATTCGATAATTACAAGCCTAAGAATGGCAAGGGTTTTGATGATATAATTATGCCAGTTTATGAGATCCAAAAATAAATATAAAGTCAAGTACTAAATAAGTCAGGTAAAGGTAAAGACGACTCTTATGGAACTAATACGAATAAATCATCATCTATATATCAGAGACCATTAGAGAGGACATATGAAGAAAATGAAGCATTTAAATTTGCTGATTTAGAGGTTGAAAGGATCAATGTAGTAGGAAACAAGAAAAAGGGCCAAGTCCTATCAAGTAATAACTCTCCAACTAAGGGAGATAATCAGGTATTTGTAAAGCAAAACAAACTATTCTTTGCTAATGTCTCAAGTCATCTGTAAAAGTAGATTGTTTCAAATCCATCGTCAGTTCTTAAGCAGTTTAAAGATGACAAGAAAAAGATCATACTAAGTAAAGATAAAGTTGCTTATAATGGATCTTCAATGGGTTAGCCTGCATTATCGCAATCTTAGAAAATCAATGATATGATTAGAATTAAGAATATCTCATAGAACTAGATTAAGAAGATCAATGACTTTTCAAGTACTGGCTCCAATAGCAAACCCTAGACATCTATGAAGTAATACGAAGAAATCAAAAAGTAAAATCAAAATCTTCCCAGGAAAATATCCTAGCCTACAAACTAAATAAACAAGATGAGTGATCTGAATCTTTAAAAATAAATGAACAGCGATTTAATAAATCCAATTAGATAGGCAGTTAATAGGAAGATCTATGACGTTAATGACATTTAAAGATAATTGGAGGAGTTGACTGAGGATGAAGACGAAATCATGAAAAAGAGCCCTCGAGCTCAGGAAATATGGACCATTAAAAGGCTTATCAAAATATCATTTAAAAGAGATGAGGCTCCACCAAACACAAGTGTTTCATTCTATAAAATTGGTAGGTTGTTAGGGAGGGGTGCTTTCGGTAAGGTCAATCTCGCACTTCATAAGCTGTCCAGAAAACTTGTAGCAATTAAGTCTATTAATAAGAAGTTTCTAAAGGATGAGCACTCTTTGAGAAAAATTGAGAATGAAATATCTTTACTTAGACTTATGAGACACAAGTCAGTTGTTAAGTTATATGAAACGTTTGAAACTGAAAAGCATTATCTATTTGTTATGGAACTTTGTTCAGGAGGTGATCTGTTATCATATGTAAGAAAAAGAAGAAAGCTTGCAGAGCCAGTAGCAAAATATCTATTCAAATAAATAATAGAGGGAATCGGCTATATTCATTCTAAAAATATCATACACAGAGATATCAAACTTGATAACATACTGCTTGATAATAAAGGACATATAAAGATCGCTGACTTTGGTGTAGGGAAATTCTCAAAACCAGGAAATATTCTATATGACTAATGTGGAACCCCAGCTTATATCGCTCCTGAAATTATAGCTGAAGAAGGATATGAAGGTGGAACAGTAGACTTATGGAGTGCAGGAGTAGTTTTGTTTGCTATGCTTTATGGTAACGTTCCTTTCAAGGGTGCAGATATGAAAGAGCTTCATAAATAAATCTTGGACGCTGATTATCAACTCAAGGATGAAATAACAGCTGGTAAGTAAAATTCTTAATTAATTTAATTAGAGGCCAAAGATTTAATTAAAGGACTCCTGACTAGAAATCCAAGACAAAGACTCACGGTTCCTCAAGCTTTAAAGCATCCTTGGTTGGCTAAAATTGAGGATAATAGTAAGCTTATTTTCATGAATAACTAATTAAAAGTGAATATATTCAATGAAAGTGAGAAGACCGTAATCTAAAAAGAGTTCAGCTATGTAGAGGATAATGAGAAGAATCTTTAATCATTTAATCTTCATCAATCCTTCAATTTTACTGATAGGAACTTGAACTCTACTTAGCATGCTCTGCTCCGAAATCTGTCATCTAAGTCAATTATCTTGGCTCCATTCAACACCACCAGATCGAACTTCAAGGAAATTCTAACTCAATCAGTGTAAGAATTGATTGTGGAGAAGAATTAAATCATCAAATTCGGTATGAGAGTCAAAGAGATTGACAAGAATTATGAACTTAACAATAACTTTAACTTGGATAATGGAGTCTTTAACAAATTTGCTCAGGCTGCTGAAAAGAAAGCTCTTGAAAATAATAATCAAATGAGATAGTCAAGATAACTATTCCACACTTAAAATTCTAGTATGCTGCAAATGGATCAGCTTGAGAAGCTGAAAAATCATGAAGAAAATGCAAAGTACTTTGATCAAGAATTTGTAATAGGTAATTAACGTTTCGCCTAATTTATTCAATAATAGATGATAACTATGTTTATCTAATATCAAGGTTCGGATATCCTGAGGAGTACATAAGAAAATGCCTTGAGGATAATGATGCTAATTACTGTACTACAACCTATTATTTATTAGCGAACGATACTCCCTTAATTGATTGATTTATAATATATTATTTTTAAGTTTTGTATAAATATATTAATCAACTATACTATTTGAATTCTGACATATGGGGTTTTGGGGTTTTGGGGTTTTGGGGTTTTGGGGTTTTGGGG